TTCTTCTTCTTCTTCTTCTTCTTCTTCTTCTTCTTCTTCTTCTTCTTTTTCTTCTTCCCATTCCCAAACAGAAGGAAACACAACTCACTTGCTGCTCTCTTCTTCTAGGGGACTTTGTGATCTTGCTCAATGCAGGGATGAGCACTCGGCAAGCCTTGCTGTTCAACTTCCTCTCCGCATGTTCCTGCTACGTTGGGTTAGCTTTTGGCATTTTGGTGGGCAACAATTTTGCTCCAAATATTATATTTGCACTCGCTGGAGGCATGTTCCTCTACATTTCTCTGGCAGATATGGTAAGAAATTCAAGTATTTTATTTTGGGTTAATTTGGTTTTTACAAATGAGCATCTGGGTTCCGAGTTGGAGGGAAGCCTTCAGCTTCCTACCTTTTCCAAGGCCTGGCTAGTGATCCCTACCTTTTCCAGCTCAGTGTATCTCACTTTGTAAGTAACTTGCGCTAACAGTAACTTGGAATGGCTGTTTTTGATTCTTTGATGACTGATCTTATGGGCAGTGATGAAGTAAACACTTTTTTAAGAGTAGGGGGATGTTTTCTAAGGTCTCTTTTTACTGTATAATGAATTAAACTTGTCTTCTATTATAGTAGGTTCTTGTAGGCCTGACCTGTCTCTTGCATAAGCGTGTCACATTTAGAAGAACAAATAACTCGGTCGAGGGAATAACTTTTTTATTCAAAGTGATTCACAGTGAAAGCCTTTGAGGTTAAGCTAAAAATATTGCACTAAATTAAGTACAAATTAGAATTGGACAATAAATATTGATTTGAGTCAGTATTATTTATGTCTGTAGGGTGTGTGTGTGCGTGTGTGTAGAGAGAACACTACCATGGAGAATTTTCTAGAAAATGATGTATTGGAGTATAAAAGTTAAGAGTAGAATATAGTATAGCATAGGAAGTAAACAGAAACATGTGCCTGAGGGTCAAATCTACAGGGTTGAATTCCTTAAAATTTGAGATGTAGACAACTATATATGGGAAGAGAGTTGAGTGGGGAAGGCATTAGGCCAGGTACATCCCATCTGGCTGTGTGGCTCATTTGACCTTTCAATCGTTTTACTGTGGATGCCACAAAATATTAGAATTTTAAATGACCATACCTGAACCAAAACATTGTTCCCTCCCAGTCTCAAAAGAAAATAAATGCTCATCTCTTGTGCAGACACCCCAGACGAGCATTTCAGGCTTGACCACAAGATGGCGACAGCTATTTAATAATGTATCTTCTAGTTTCCAGAGATGAACGACATGCTGAGAGAAAAAGTCACTGGAAGACAAACGGATTTCACCTTCTTCATGATCCAGAACGCAGGGATGTTAACCGGGTTCACTGCCATCCTGCTCATCACCTTGTACGCAGGGGACATCGAATTGCAGTAGCCGGAAGTGGAGTAGGTCAACGTGGGAAGGAATTTAATAAACAACAACACAGAAACATCTCCATAGGGATTTTTTAAAAAAGTGTATCCTATTTAGTTAAACGAGATTTTTTTTTTTATTTTCAACTAGAGGCTAAGGAATATAATGACTGGTTTCAGATATGTAGAATAGGTGAAATTTGTTGTTAAAAAATTTCCTTAAAAGGTTTTCGGTTTCAGTCTGAAGTGGCTGGTGTATGGGGCCTTTGGTAAATACCTGTTTTTCAATATTCTATGCATATTAGAAAATTATCATGAACCAAACACATGCATTCACAAGCAGACGTACAGATCCAGAGAAAAAACACAATCTGGGTTGTGTAAGGCTTTAGAACTTGGTTGGGTAAAAAAAAAACCTTAAGTGTTTTCAGAGTGGTTTTCTTCCAATTAATGTGTTCGACTGCTTTTAAAGGCCGGTGCATCAAATGTGGAAGAAAATCAAAACAGCTCCAGTGCATGCAGGAATGATCCCAGTGCCTTAATGAAGCCTAGAAAGATTGTGCACAGTGTTTGCTCAGCTTTATGTCCCAGTTGGCGACCTGTAGGATTGTTTTGAAAGCTATTCTAAAGTAATATGAATTAGGAAAAGACGAAAGTCTTGCTAGCCCAGTGAAGCTTGGGCTCAGGGCTTGGTCCCTGAGTTATAAGCTTGAACACACTCTACAGAAGACCAGAATTGCTTTGCTATGATTTATGTTGTGGTTTCAGCCAACAGAAATGGCCGAGCAGCATAGAAGACTGGTCAGAACTCAGTCTTGCCATACTCTGGGATTGCTTTGTAATGGTGGAGAAGATGTTGGGTGGGAGAGAGAAATTGAATATAATTTTGATCAGTTTACTTTTTAAAGATGAGCATAATTATTTAGCAGGGAGAATTTCAATAAATGCAAAATAACAGCTGGGCTGGGCTGTGTCAGCGACTGATGGTGGAGGAAGCATGTGTTCATTAGGGGTGATTGACAGTTGGCCGAAACATCTTCTCTTATGTGCAGCCTGCTTTGTGCCCATATGCTATACCTTTGGATGGAAAACCTCAGCATACTGTGCTTATTTTTTTACCTTTTGTAAAACACAAAGCTCACAGAGTTTTTGAGCAGGTTGTAGACAATCAGTCCAAATTGAACATCCTCATCTCAATTCACACTCCCAAGTAGCTTAAAAAAAAGATGATTTGACAGTGATGAGAGTTATTAATAGCAGCCAAGCTATCTCAGGAATTATGTCTTTCCTATAAGCCAAAACACATTTTCATGTAATAACAATGCAAATTTGATAAACTTTAACATATATGTTTATGTGTATTCTCACTCTACGACTGACATTTAAAAAATATTATTTGACCAAACAGTAAACGATTTTGAAACCATGCACTGTGTCAGTTATTTTTCTCTTAATATGTCGTTATTTTGAGTGACTACCATGTGCCTGGAGTTATGGGGAGAGAGGCAAGTAGGAAATTGACGTTGTATTGCTTATTTTAAAAATATCTGACAAACAAATCCCACAAAGATTTCTTTTTCATTTCAATAAACACAATCTATATTAGTACAACTTTTTGTTTCTGTGCTTGGCAATCTTTGCTTTTTAAAAGTTTACATTGTGGGCTGGAGCTATGGCTCAGTGGTTAAGAGCACTGACTGCTTTTCCAGAGGTCCTGAGTTTAATTCCCAGCAACCACATGGTGGCTCACAACCATCTGTAATGGGATTTGATGCCCTCTTCTGGTGTGTCTAAAAAGTACTCATATACATAATATAAAAAGTATAGGCTGTATATATTTTTAATGAAATGACTTATGAAAGCATATTTTGAAAAGATAGTTTTGTGATCCTCATTGTACATGAGGATTGTCTGTTGATACTTTGGCATGCTTCCTATGGATTTGGCTTTTCATCATTTCTCTTTGCCATGGAGAGCAAACGACACAGGTGATGATGAAAGGCAAGAGACAATTGCTTGTTGGAGGCAGAAGAAAAGCCATGACAGCATTTAAATTATCCTGATTAACTTTCTTCAAGTAAGCTAATCTTGCCAACATATCTTCTATGGGACATTTGTTATATAGATGAATATTTTATAATCTTGCTTTTTTTTTTTTGAAGAAGCAAGAATTTATTTCATAGTGAAGATTATAAGCCACCATTGAAGGAAGTTAGAATGGAACTCAAGTAGAAACTGAAGCAAAAGCCATGGAGGGACATTGCTTACTGCCTCTTTCTCTGACTTGTTTGGTTCACTTTAGTAACAGCTCTCTAGTTGGACTTAATACCTACTCAACAAGAGGGAAATCATGCCTACTACTGGAAACCTAGCTAGCTAGTAAGTAATGGATGTTCGAGGAGAACCTACAACCACCATTTTACTAAGACAGCATAATCATTAGATTTTAGAGATGCTAAAAAAATACTGTAATATATATATATATATATATATATATATATATATATATATATATTCTCATTGTTAAACTTTAAAGAATGTATACCAATAACTGGAATTTATAGGGTACTGTAGAAGACCCTGTTAGCCTGGTAATGCTGTGTCACAAAGCACCTCAGAAAACTGAAGCTCACAAAGCTGGTAGTTCTTCTACTATAGAGGTGCTGATGGGTAGCCAGCTAAGATAGCCATGGGTTTAGTGTGAGGCATTCATTATAGCTGGAACTGAAAATTCATGTGGAAAAGGAAATAGATGCCCAAGTCCAGTCATGAGTAAAGTAAAAATAGGTTTAATCAATCTTAAGCAGTCTATATAAAATATCTATTATTTCACTTTTCCTGATTGAAGAAACCTAATATTATTGATAATTCATCAGAAGTCCCTACAGCTACCTTCCTCTTCTAATATCTAAATAAATAACCTAAATCCTTTTAATGAAGATAGTTTCCCTTAGCTGTACAAGTTGGGATGTGCTACTGTATCATGGCTCAGAGCTAGTGAGGGTAACTCATGTTTACTAAGCTGCCAGTTGCTCTTCTGTCCTTATTTCTTTCTGCTGCAGCAGTGGAATGTAGCCAATTTGTGAGCTCAGTGTTGTAAGTCTCTGGAAGCTGTGTATGGCTATAATGATTTCTAGATGTTCTAGATCCTATTGGGTATTTCTGGTTTCCTACATTTAAATGCCTGCTTCTCCTAACTCTCCTCAGCATTTTCTTTCTTTAGGTCTGTCTTTGGTTTTATCTGGAGGTTACCATGATATCCAGATATGTTTACATAAGATCTGTTGCAGTACAAGAGGTTGTCAAATGGATTCCCTTGGCTACGATACCACAGATCATTCTTAATGGATACATAGCTTTCTATACCGCTGGTTGCAATTCTTGTACTTGGCTTTCTGCTAGCTTCCTTTCCATGTTAAGGATGTGCAAAGCATATTCCATGACCATTTGGCCTCCTAGTTGAAGACTCTAAATTTCTCTGTGGCTCCAGAACCTAACTCCATTAACTCTGCTAATAAAATTAAAATGAAAGAAACTGGATAACCAGAAAACTCCAAATATCATTCTGTCAATTACAAGGCGTATTCCCTCCCGCCATATTTTAGTAGTTTCCAATGGCATTCTGCAGGTGGGGAAAACATGGTATTGGGAAGGTAGCTCTTAGATGTTGTAAGAAAAAATGGGAGAATCTCCACGTTGAGGATTTGATGTATAAGAACTAACAGGTCTTCTCTTAGTTTGGTAGAAGAGGCATGAGCTGCAACATGGGGCCCGTGGGGCCCAATAGCCTTAGGAATCCAGACTCCTTCCATTTGTTTGTCTGCAGTGCTGAGAAATGGAAGACTCAGATAGACTGTGGTTCCTACTTCCAAGATGCTTCGTATCATAAGACAGTACCTAGAGATCTGGCTTTCAACTCTAAACTCCACATAGCAGGAAGGAGGACTGGATAGAAAGGCAAAAGTTCACACTGTATCTTTATTCACTCCTTCCTGAACAATATTTCAGAAGATCCAACTATATCCATTTATATTCACTGACCAGAATGAGTCATCTCTATCTATCAGCCAAAAAAGAGGAACTAGGCAATTCTGCAGTCAGCTGGATGCACTTCTATCAGTAAAAAGAAATGAAGATTTTGTCATTTGGAAAAGTCAAGAATGGCTGTGTGTGATTGGCCATCCTTCTGCTGTTAGCAGGTTTGCATGCATTCAGCAGGTTCTGAGTGTGTGGATGGCTCAGAGGTTGATGTTTGGAGTCTTTCTCAGTCCTCTCCAAACCCACTGTTTTGGAGACAGGAATCTCTCACTAACCCTGGAGCTCACCAACTCAGCTAGACTGTCTGATCAGCCAGTCCCAGAGATCTGCCTGTCTTTGCCTCTCTAGCTCTGAGACTGCAGGCATGGGACTCTTTGCTTGGCTTTTCCTGTGGTTGCTAGGAGCTGACCTCAGGCACACATATTTATGCAGTAAGCACTGCACTTACATGGGCACTCCAGCCTATGACCAGGATTATAGCTGTTTTTTCTTTTTATAAGCAAGTATTAATGATGTAGAACAATTGGTTTCATTTTGTCATTTTTCACTCACCATACACAGTGTATTTGACTCCCCCCCTTCTCTCTCTCTCTCACACACACAGTACTCTGATTGCACCCCCCCCATTATTCCCTTCCCACTGCTGCTGACTCCAGGTATTTCCTTTCAAATTTGTTCTTCCTCGACTTTCACACCGTATCTTTTGGTGACTCAATGAGTTTAACTAGTGTTGCCCTTAGGAGCTGGGTGAGGACTTAGTTACAGAAGCAGAGGCATCTTACTGATGGCTACACCACTGAAGAAACACCCCCTTGCCTTCTCAGAACCCCAAGGAAGGGGGACAGACCCTTTTTCATTGGCCCCTCCCCCTTGATGACAAAAATCTACAGTTACATCCAGTTTCATCTATACATATCTGTACTCATCATTTATCTATACATATCTGTACTCATCATGTATCTATACATATCTGTACT